GCACGTTCTCACGTTTCCTTCCAGGAGCGTATTCAACGCGCTTGGATACACCTCGCGCTACCGAGCTTTCGTTTCTGCACTTTGAGATCCTTAAAAGTAATCATCAACCAGGCTCTCCCTCTCCTCCCGCCGAGGACTGGAAATTTGAGTTTCCCGTTATACGTTCCGATACTTTCCGGTAACTCTCGCCACAGAGGCGACCGCGAAAGCGCTGCGGTTAGGGATGCAACGATTTCTCAAAATATCGATAATGACATTATCGTCATTCAGAACCATCGATAACGATAATATCGAATATCAATTGTGAAAAATATCGATATTTAAATCAATATTTATATAAAAAATGTATACATATAGGAGTATGTATATATGGTAAAGGGTATGCACGAAAAATTTGGAAAGATCTTTTAAAAATTTTTGTCCTCATATAATTTATTGTCGTATTCTTATATAATGAACCGCAGTCACATTTGCCGGAGATCTAAAGTGCACTATTACAGTTCAACGATTGAGGTGGAAATTATAAAAGTGAGCGAATTTACTAGACATCGAGCAATTACATAATATATATTCTACTGAATTCACTCACTTTTGTAATTTTCATCTCGGTCGTAGAACCGTAATAGGTCGCCAGAGCTGTAACTGAAAAATACGAAGATCATTAAAATTCATATCGATATGTCGATTTTATCGGAGACAAAAAAATATCGATAAATATTCGATATTTGTCTCTCGATATTTCGATATTATCGATTTATCGTTGCATCCCTAGCTGCGGTATTGATTGAAATGAAGTCGCGATTGTATCATCGGCATATACGTGTGAAGTGCTCGGTCGCACTGCGGTCTCGCACAAACGCTGAAGCGAACGATCTGGCGATTCGCTGGCAGCCTAAATGAGCCTCCGGATACGCCGCTGTGCATTTTCTTCCCGCAGGCTTTCTTTCCTCAATTTATCCGGCGCCCGAGTCGCGCGCATGCCCGTTGTCTGGAACTTTTGAATCAGAAAATAAATCGCAGGGATACGAGGACGTTGTAAGGGGCACAACAACGACTCGTCAGTGACTACCTACCGCGCAGAGACGGTCTGCAGAGACATACGCAGGAAATGGAAAATTTACTTTGAATGTCCGCGGTCAATCTCGATAACAGCGGCCGGCTCTGTTTTTCCCGGATGATGTGAGTCTTCGCCCGAGCGGTCGTCATAATCATGTATGCGAGCGATTACTTAACGATGTGAGGACAACACGTATTCGATATTCCGAGCGAAGGCACGACTCATCTACCTGAACCCGAAACTAATAGCTAAATAGCGCAGGTTAAATTACATTTTATATTAGCTTGTCACTGAATATTCATTCAAATATAAAATTAGTTTTGCGATCTGGCCATCGCGTGTCGAAAATGATGGAGTACGTGTATCTCTGTGCTGAAATAAATAGTACCATATTGAAATAACTTTAAAGTAATTAGCTATTAACATATATATTAGCAATGAAAAATTATTACAATACTTTGTTTAGTCGAAAGATAAGGAAACTGTCACCTGTCGTTTTCTGCCAATAATACAACGCTTCGCGTTATTCATCTGATTGGTGAAATAAATAAATGAATTAGTTGGAAGTTGATCGAATAAAATTATAATTATGAGATGCAGGATCATATATAACTTGTTGCCAGCCAGTGTATAACATTCCTTTGTTGCTCTTCCAAGACTTTTGTTTATTTAAAACTAATAGCTAAACTAGTACATACATATACAGAGCCACAGGCTAGATTTGAATTAAATTTTCCAAAACCGTGACGCTTGAAGCAGAAGCAACGTGGATCACAGGCTGCAGGATCGAACGACCGAAGTAGGGTCCGTCGAAAATCTGGCCGTTAAATTTGAGAGGATTTTTCGCGCGCAATCGACATTTCGTTCGCCGTCATGCATGCGAGGAGGGAACGGCGCGTGCATTGTCTGGACGAGGTTAAGAGGGTTAGACGGAGTTAGGGGATGTCCTGGGAGAGGTTGAGGAGGCAGAGAGGAGGGTAGGGTATCGGTGTAATGAAGAGCGACAGTGGCCCCCTCCCTTCTCCCTCGCCAGCCATCGCTAATTTGCCGCTAAGTGCCCGGCTTTGTTTCCGTACGCTGATCCCATCGTTCGCAATATCCTGGATCCAAGGCGACGTTCCACGGTGTTTAAGAGAGAAAGCCAAATAACCCGCGGTATTACTCGGCAATCCGGTATAGATCGGACTCGGGTGGAAAAGGGACGCCATCGACCGAGCAAATATCAGAGAGAAAGAGAGAAAGAAAGGGGAAGAACAGATATAGATGGATAGATAGTTAGATAAATAGAGAAAGAGAGGGAGAGGGAGAGAGAGAGAGAGAGAGAGAGAGAGAGAGAGAGAGAAAGAGAGAGAGAGAGAGAGAGAGAAAAGGGACAATAAAAAAAGGAAGAATAAAAATAACGTCATATTCCTTGAATATTGAGAATAATCTGTAAGAAAGGTCATCGTGAGCATTTTAATTCAACGTTTTAATCTAAACTTCAATAAAAAGAGAGCACTTGAGACTTTGATGTTTCTAATAAGAGAGAGAAAGAGAGAGAGAGGGAGAGTATGTGTGTGTGTATGAATGTTTGTACATGTCATAATAATTTAGGGCCAGTTTTTCAACCGTGGTTTAAACTAAAGATTATTTAATCTTTCCTTGATCCATAAACCTAGTTTTACATCTTGTGTATTTTTCAAACATACGCTGAAGACTGTTTAGATAAACCTTTGTTATTAAATTGACAACGAAAAGTTATCGCTGTGCGGGTCACTTTTAGACACGTGGGGATTTAATTCTAATATGAATGCAGTATACGGCATTCACACAATATGGAAATATTATACCATAATATTGCAAAATTTTTCATGAAGTCTTTGAATATCTTCTTTTGTATTCGGAAATTTTACATATGCAGGTCTAAGTTGAGCAATTGCCCTTGAAACATTATTAATTACTTTACTTGCTGTACTTTCGTGAACAAAATTACTTACGCTTATTAAAAAAGATCCATTAGCATAAAATCTTAATGTTAATAATATAATTTCATACATACTGAAAGAGCCTGATTTCTGGAAAAAATAAAAGAAATACGATATAGATAAATTTTATATTATTCGTATAATATCCATTATTAGTAAACATCATATTTTTTAAATAGTTAATTAGTTAAAACTAATATAATTGAAAAATATTCCATAAATGTCATTTAATTTATATGACGTATATGACCTTTCAGTTGGTGATTGAATAGTTGGTGTTTTGAATTTTTTCTATCAACATATGAATTATAGCTTTGAATAAGTGAAATCTTCGAAGAAATTCTTTTTCATCAAGTTTCAATTTGGTCTTTGCCTCACAACCTGATTTTTTCTCATGTTAATATGTTTTATATATCCTAAAATATCCTCATTTCCACTACTCTCTTCATAATATTCTTCATCAAACATCGTAACAAATATTTTATACTTTTACAAATATTTAACAATATGGTTTTAAATATAACAATAGAGACACTGTAACGACGTTTATTAATCCATTAAACGATGTTTAAACGGTCATCATTCACAGTTTAGTTAAACTATATTTAATGGATAGATCAGAATAAAACTACGTTTTATTCTGATCTATCCATTGAAAAACAGTCTAATTCTTTTAAACAGAGTCTAGTTCGTTTAAACTTCGATCTAAATTTAAACCGTTATTGAAAAACCGGCCCTTAATGTATTAGATAATTTTTAATAAATTTTTATTGCATTTTTAGATTGTATTTACGTCGCGTTGCGTGACGTTAATATACGAGGTAACGAATCTTCGAAAAGTAGATTACGCGTAAGTTCATGCACGAGCAAGCGTGAATCGGCGATGATGATGAGAACTCTTGAAAACAAACGGCCATATATCGGTTCAAGTATCAAGAATCAGATATCGTCTAATGCTATTACTCAAGATTACGATGTATTGAATCTAGCAATGGCGATCCTGAGACCATTGTATTTATTGTGAAAGTGTAACATGCAATAGCACGTAGGCACGTGGACGCATAATTGCGTATCGTGCAAATAGTTTCGAAATGCGTATGCAGCAAATTTAGAGTCGGGAAGGCCTCCCAAGGCGCAGCATATTCCTGGACGGAAGCGGGTTTAATCAAACGCTAAATTTGTAACAATTATTAATATAATAACGCAAACTATATAAAAATAATAATTATTCACAATAACAAGTAATAATAATAACTGCTGATAATAACGATTGCAGTGACAAGCGAACAACATTCAAGAGTAGCTTAAATAGTACGGGACGATTAACCCTTTCGATACTACAGGTGACTGTAGTCACCAATCATCGTATACTCACTGTGTCCTACAGGTGACTATAGTCACCCATCATTGCACACTCACTGTGTCCTACGGGTGACTATAATCACTCATCGTCGAAAGTATATTATTAAACAATTTTTTAAATCTGAATAATTTAAAATGTATTACATTGTGATATCTCATCCTTGACGACGAATTTATCTGTAATTTACATTATTTTACCGAATGTCAAATGTTGTATTCACTCTATGGTAAAATGTACGGTTATAATTGGCCCGTACAAAGAATCTTATTCGCGACTCGAGTATCCGTACAGCGGAAGCATACTCGCGAACGACATAGCCGTATCGAAAGGGTTAATTGAAACACTCTTCTTGTTTCGCGCTTCTCGCACGCTCATATCTCGGCGACTCGACTTGTGCATTTTTTGCGAAATCTCTGCGCCGCTGGACAAGCCACAAAAGAAAGGAAGACATTGTCGCCCATGATGCAATATGACAAGTATAAAGTCAGCCAATTATTGCATCGAACTTTACTTCTGCGATGACGTCGAAGATGTAATCATCCATCTGCTTACGTAAAGCTACCGGCTAGCATGAGCTATATAAGCGGGGGAGTTGTATATAACTCCAGCAGTCTCCGCGCATTCACTATCTCGCGACGCCGAGATCGTGAGCTAAAATAAACGTTCGTGTTTCGCTGATCACGCCTCTCGTCGTCGTTATCGCCATGGAATTCTGGTCACTGTTTTCTCTCATCTTGACCGTCGGCTACCTTGTTTACCGCTACTGCTTCCAAGGCCTGGATCACTTCAAGAAACATGGGATTCGCCATACACCGCCGTGGCCGTTGGTGGGCAACATGGGGCCGATGTTTTTGCGGCAGCTGTCGATCGCCGAGATAGTGAAGAAAGTGTACGATCTGAGCCCGAACGCCAAGTACGTCGGCTTCTTCGACGCCATGAATCCGATAGTGGTGATCCGCGACCTAGAGCTTATTAAGTCCATCGGCGTGAAGAACTTTGACACTTTCCCCGACCACCGTTCCTTCATCGACGAGGTGAACGACCCGTTGTTCGGTAAGAACCTGTTCTCGCTTCGCGGCGACAGGTGGCGGGACGTGAGGAACTTGCTGAGCCCGGCGTTCACGACAAGCAAGATGAAGACCATGTTCAAACTGATGTCCGACTGCGCGGTCGACTTTGCGGACTTTATGGCGAAGACGCCGGCGAGCAAGAGCGTCATAGAGATGAAGGAGTGCTTCACCAGGTACACGAATGATGTGATCGCGACCTGCGCTTTCGGTATCAGCGTTGACTCCATGAGGAACCCCAAGAACGACTTCTACATTTATGGTAAGGAGGCCACGACCTTCGACTTTACGCGCACCGTCAAGTTCTACATAGCCAGAAGCATGCCGCTCGTCTCCAAGATCTTGGGTATCAAGATCGTCACCGAGCATGTGGCTAAGTTCTTTAAGGACATCGTGAGAAATACCATTTATACCAGGGACACGCAAAACATCGTGCGACCGGACATGCTGCAGCTGATGATGGAGAGCAGGGGCAAGAAAGGCCCCGGCAAGGAGCTGACAATCGAAGACATGACCAGCCAAGCGTTCATCTTCTTCTTCGGCGGCTTCGACACCACGTCCACATTGATGTGTTTCACCGCCCATGAGATCGCCGTGAACCCGGACATTCAAATGAAACTGCGCGATGAGGTGGACGCAGTTATGAAGGCCACCAACGGAACGTTGACCTATGAGGCGGTGAACGGAATGCAATATTTGGACGCTGTGGTGAACGAGACTCTCAGGATGTACCCGATAGCGGTATTCCTCGATAGAATATGCACAAAAGATTATGAGCTGCCTCCGGCGCTACCCGGCGACAAGCCTTTCGTCTTGAAAAAAGACTCTACCGTCTGGTTCCCTGTTTATGGCATTCATCACGACCCGCAATACTTCGAGGATCCTGGCAGATTTCATCCCGAGCGCTTCTTGGACGAGGATAAGAAGGGCATCAATCCGAACGCGTATCTGCCGTTTGGAATCGGCCCGAGGATGTGCATAGGCAACAGGTTCGCGCTGCTCGAGACCAAAATCATGCTGGTGCACTTGTTGGCTCGCTGCGAACTGAAACGCTGTGAGAAAACCGTATATCCGATGCGGTTCAGCAGGAAGAGCTTCAACATCCTGGCGGACGGTGGGTTCTGGGTTAAGCTTCTACCGAGGAGCAACGCTGTCAATGTGTCGTCCACCGTTGCCAACGACAGCGCGGCCAACGGCCAGATATGAATCCTCGGTAGCGCCGATGGGAGTCCAATACTTGGAATCGGCCTTTAGAGACTGTACGACGATTCGTCAATGATTGCAACAATTTTCAATGCGAAAGGTGCTGGCGTATGTCCGTACGACGTTTCAAGGAGAGATGAGTTTGGGGGAAATTTGGGGAAAGTGAGATGACACATTAGGTTTGTTGTCGATTAACGACAAGATCAAGAACAAACATGAAAGACTTGGGTTAATGAGAGCCAACGCGGGTAGTTAGTCGCGTAGAAAGTACACTTTTAATGAGTGATTTCTGCTACTGTCGCGAAAGTACCAGTAACCAGAGAAATAATGTGTACAAACGTTTCGGTCTGAGTTCGGACTCTCCTCAGTTTTTACGATTTAAGACACGCTTACGGTTAGATTACATCATATTGCTTAACATTGTAAATTGGGCTCTTCTGGTCGTCTTCGAGCCTTTCATGCGGTGTATCCTTGGAAACTTCTCCAAATATGGTCAACACCACTTTTCTCATAGCATTCATTCTTGCGTATTATAATAAATACATTATTCATTGGAATCTATTAAAATGTTAGAGATCAAAGTCCTCAAGACGAAATTTCAAAATGGAAGATATTCATTACAAATTCATTCTTCGTGACTAATTACCTATTCAGTTAGCTTTGACGACCCGTTTGATTGTACACTTAAAAGTTAATTACAGCTTTCATGTAGATTTATAACTTTAGCTTTTATTTCGCTAGAATATTTCATCGCTACATAGTCTTCGTTTAGACTTACATGCTGTATAGAGTATGAATATTTCTTAGATTTATAAAAATATTGAGGTAAGCAAATTGTGCCAAAGTACAACATTGGATTGCTACAACAAGTATACGCAAAATCTTTCTATTTCCACACTGTATAGCGCTTAATTTATCTAAAAATGACAATTTTCCATCGCGTAATATTTATCAAGGCGCGATATCACGCATCGATACTTATCACATTCTTGACGAGTGAGTAACGTTTCACAGCGAACGGAATTCATTACGCACCGGACATTTCCGATGGAAAGTGGCGAGCTGTGAGGCGTTGCGAAAGTTCCAATAGCTCAGAACTTGCGTGCATACATAGCGAGAGCTTCATAATTACACGCGGAAAATATCTCTTGGACTTGGTCTCTTTCATAGATTCTTATAAACGCTTATTTTCTCGTCCGTTTGCATTTTATAGCAAACATAAATACTAAAATAAATTAATCGGCGTGACAAGACTACGCAAGACAACGTGGAAAAACCAAATATGCTTTAAACTGGAAAGTAGACTTTCCGGTTCTTGTAAAGGTGAATGCTAGAATAAAATCCAAGAAAGTGCTAATAATATGAAATTAGGGAAAGGAAGGGGAGGGACATGATTAATAATATTTAGAAACCAACAGCCGAACAAAGTCTATTTGTGTGGCAATGTGATTAAAACTTAAACATCTAATACAATGTTATTTCTAATAGAAAAATAATGTTTTATATACAAAGACTGACATACGCATGTACGTGTGTGACAATATGTACACGCACACGATAGGTTTACTCCAAATAATTCTCTCTTGTTATGCGAAAGAGAAAGAGAGATAGTTAAGTTTTCATCGTAAGGAGATTAAATCGCTTGTGATCGCAAATCACCCAACATATATAATTTAATCTTAATTTGTTTTTTTCTATCGGTAGCTTTTATTACGCAATGATAGAATTTATTAGTGCACGATGACAAGGTTATTAAATGTAATATTACAGCATATATCTGTGTGATTTCCTGCGTGTTCTTTAAGTAAGATTTCAATACTTTACTGAAATTATAAGAATAAAACTCTAACCTGATCTCAGGAGAAATCGTTATTGAAGATCCAAGCAGTTCCCCTATATAGCTAACATCAATAAATACGGGAAATAGAAAATTTTCTTAATCTTCCCTCTTTGCATCATAAATTCACGATGATTAATTGAAATTCTGTTAAGTGAAATCATCGATGTCTTTGTTCACGCTCCAATGTATGTAGCTAGAGATGCGTCGATTAAATCTTACGCTTGATCGTAACGTTACGTTTAGATCGTAACGTTACGTTTAGATCGCGAAAGATCATGCGCAGAGAAATTAATGAACTACATCACCGGTGTAAAGAGTGAGAAGATGATATTATGGCCCTTCATTCACATTTTGTACAATAATTTTATCAATAATCAATATTTTAAAGTAAGAACTGAATAATTACATGTGTCACAGTGTTGTTTAATCGGTTATAAACTCAAATTTACGTCATGTTTATTACTTAGAATGTTATTTATAAAAACGTGGCAACGCAGCATAATGGGTCGGCGAGAAAGTGAGGCAGTTACGTGGCCTTCCTCTAAAACTGATATAAAAAATTTATTTTGTTTAAAATAGCACAAAGTGTTTAGTTACGAAATTATATATTTATTCATATTAAACTCTTAGAAGAGGAGTAATAATGAATATAACTGCGAATTTTTAATGTGGATATTGACTTAGCTAGGAATTGACTTGCTAGGAAATATAATCTGCCAGAAAGACAACAGTGCAGTGCAAACATGAATGCAACAGCAGCAATTTTGTATCGAATAATTACTTTGTATAAAAATCTTGAAAAAGAGAGAGACTATTTATCAGCGCTTTTATGGGGCCATATTAGCAAAATGTCATGCTATTTCATTCAACTTTGCATGATTTAAAAGATGTAGAGCCGAATAAAATGTCAAGTGACAAATAAAATATTCAATTGTATATATTGTATATTCGTGTGATAATACGCTCAAGTTTAAAAATAAATGAGGAAACATGTCTAACTAAATGCTCAAAATATACCTTGCAGAACATTTCGGAATGCTTGAAAGTAAAAATGCATTATAAAAATACTAGCTACTGTGTATTGATATATTAGCATCACTGCGCTAACGGCAAACTACTAAACAAATGATTCCATAAATAATAACTGGAATTCACTACCTAATAACGGAGATATTGAGAATGATCATAATACATACAACAACCAACAAGGACCATAATACCTACAAGAACCATAATAGCACCTTCTCTTGTAATAAATATTGCAATCTTGCGTTGATGGCACGCGATTGACGCGTGCGTTCCGCAGTTTTGCAAATTAATCTGAAAAGATACTTGCGCCGATCAGTTATATAGGTGACATATCACTATTCTATTATTATTACTATCAGTATTACTGTTATTATACTTTTTGACGTATCTGTTGTTTACAGACTATTTTCAAATCCACGATATGATCCGTGTTACGCTCTGCTACGTGCGATTGTGCAATCGTTCGGAGAAAGAAATTAGATATCGTTCTGAGAACTGGATAATATCGACGAATAAATAAGCTTCGATAAGAGCAAATGCGCACTTTCATTCAACAATCAAGCTATACATATAGGATGTCTAATAATTCGCGCTTATTATTTATATGCACGCTAATGATACTTTACTATCAAGGACATTCTCATTAGTTAGAGTTAGAGGACTTGGAGTCCTTCCGCGACCGTGAACGACTCGTTCATTAATAAGAACCTGTTCTCGCTGCTTGGCAAGAAGTGGCACCTCCACGGTTAGCAAGGTGAAGTTCATGTCTCCATTGGTATCATGCGCGGTGAACTTCATCACGTTCGTGTTGTTGTTATCAGAACGAGCTGGAGACAAAGGAAGCGTTGACCAAGTGACACGAACGACATGGTCGTCATTATACGTCTTCAGCATCAAAATGGGTACCATGAGGAACCAATCCAATCATCAAGTTCACGGTTGGAATGGTACATTTCTAGAGTTTCATACCATTATGTTGATCTTCCTTAAGATCTCAAAATTTCAAAAGTTCATCTTTTCGCTCGCGCGAGTCTTCAACTTGCGCCTAGTGGACAACCAGGTGATGAGCTTCATGAACATTATCAAGACCGCGATCGTAAAGATCATATGATCGGACATGCTGCGAATGATGATGGGCGCGAGGGGCAAGAACATCGCCATGAAGAAAGGCACGGTGTCGTGGGTGCTGGTTTACTTGATTCACCACGACGAGCCAGAAAATTCCGTCCTGCTGCCATGAAAATTCATCATGGACGCCAACATCTATGAGAACTCGCGCTGTTTTGCACCTGTTTTGGGCTGGAGTCGAAAATGTGCATGGGCGTTTCGCCGTGCTGGAGATGAAGGTGCTGTTGTTCCACTTGTTAGCGCGATGCGAGTTGAAAGTCTGCGCGAAGGCCTCGCCACCGATACAACTCGACAACAAAGGTCTGCAAATGGCGGCCGAGGGTGGATTTTGGCTGAGTATTCGGCCTAGAAGCGACGTGCATCCCGCGCTCACGTCCGCGATGATTAACGACGACATTATTAATCCTTGAAGAACGGTCTCGTGACGCGCGAGCGAGTCTGGCTGCAGCGGAGTATTATCGCTGCGCCGAGAGAGGTGCATAATCGCGCATGGTAACATGAAGATGTAGTGTAAGGAGATAATCTGCTAACATGTGTAACACGATGTTACGCGGGAAAAGGGATATCTGTTGCGTCCGCGGGGTCGGTCGACGGCGTCGTGATCTTCTTGATTCTACAGCGATATTATTGAAACGGGCATGAGTAATCCCGGAAAATATTACCGATATCTAAGAAGAGGGATAATATCGCGAAAAAGTGCAATCTTGAAGTTAGTCTCGCTGGATACTGGATCAATCTCTTGATATATCAGGATCATGGAGTTGTATCGAGATTAGTATGCACTGCGCCGCTTATGTGTGATAAGCAGCGTTAGGAAAGTTACTTTGTAAAAGTATCTAGTTACAGTTATAGTTTTTTCACTGAAAAAGTAACTAGTTATGGTTACAAGTTACTGACTTTACTTTCAAAAATAACATGTTACAGTTATAGTTATTGTATTATATTTAAAATGTAACGAGTCGTTATATACTTTTCAGTTACTTTTTTACAATTTTCGTAATTGTGTAAATTCTTTCAATTTTATATAAAAGTAGTTTGTTGATTATTATATTCCTCATATTGCATATAATTTTTACAAATTAAATTCATTAATTTAAATAAGTAATTCATATTTATTTTTTAAGACTATTAATAATAACTGAGCAGAAAAGTGCCCAGTCGTTCCCAAGTTTTTACTGTAACTCCAATATTTCTGCATATGCTGGCCATGGCATTTTATAATCTTTCTCCGAAGATTGAAAAGTTTTATCCATTGCTTGAATTTTTTATGTAGCTGAAACCACACAGCGCACTTCACGCTGAACGCAAGTTATGTTAATAAATAAGGACTGGCGATGCGCGATGGAAATGTCCAATAGGAGTACAATTTTTTTGAAAGAAATACAAATTGCGTTCGGAAAGGAGACTATCAGCGCTATTGCGTCACTTTATCCTTGTTTTACATCTAATGAATAATAAAGATAGAAGACGTAATAGCGCGTTTTATAGAATTTTGGGCTTTGTATGTATTTGTATGCCTCACCTACTTTGGAGCAAGGTTACTTGTACGCAATAGCGAGTTTCAGCTGAACATTTGTGTAAGCTGTTTTCACTAGGTCAATGGTTGTTTTTCAAAACGATTGTATACTTCAGGAAATGTGCGATTCTGCGATGTTCGGACTTCGGTGTATCACAACTTTTCGAAAAATTGCTCTGGTTTTCATATTTACAGATTTTGTTTTTTCAGCGGGCAATGCACGTCCCTGTTTCAATAATACTGCGGTGGACATATATAATCCCGAAATATCGCGATTTTTCAGCAAATTGTTTCGCCTTTTGAATTTCGGTATATTTTTTTCCCACGACGATGCGCGTGCCCACCGTTGAAACTTATACATCATACATTGTTTCGATAATTCGAGTGTCGGATTTTCGGCAACGCTTCTGTTGAAAATCAGGAAGATACACTGCAATTATGCCGCCGCGGATCAATTTGACTGATACAGCAGCAATTTTCCCATGTACAGTTCTTTCCTCCATTCCACGATGATCGTTCGTGGTGGACAATTAACGCCGTTTAAGGTTGAGATAAAAATTTGAAAGTAAGTAGCACTGACGATTAACACCGTTGCGATACGACATAGCGAAGTAGCTCGTTGCATTGTGATGTGATTGAAGAATTCGCACGATAGAATCGAGAGAAAGAGAGAGAGAGAGAGAGAGAGAGAGAGAGAGAGAAAGAGAGAGAGAGAGAGAGAGAGAAGGAGAAAGAGAGAGAGAAAAGACGATCGTATAATTGCATATCGCCTTGAAACGAAACGGCGGCGACACGCGCGCCGTGCATTAATGAAGCGGCCGTTTCATCCAGCTTAATAGCAACAAAAAATTTCCGCTGCAAGGCACAATCGCGCGCATATTCACAACAGCTATTTAATAAAATATGTAGGATTTTATAAAATTTGCAGGAATATATTTGAGTAAGATATTTGCCCAAAGTATCTTGTTTGTCCAAAATATCTTTGTAACACGAAGTCTATAATTGCTCCTTTGATTAATCGTTACGTAATCACAGGTCATTGAGTTAACATTAATAGTAGGTCATTAGCGCCATTAAGATATCGTGTGCGAAGCAACACGACGCAGCGAATAGCATGTTACATTTTGCTGCAAAAATTCACGTGATCGGATCGGAAAACAAACGGTAAGCACATGTTTCTTGTTGCTCTTAAACAACACGACGTATCTGACGAGCACGCACTTTAATGAGACGCGCGCTCCTTAGTGACGCGCTCGACGCCGCCAGATTATAATAGTGCTAAGTTTCCGACCAAAATAATTACATAAAAGTGCAAACACACATCTCTCTTCAAAGGACTTATTGTATTTGAACGAGCGCGGCATAGGGAAAAGAGAAGAGAAATCTGTCCGAAATTCGGAAAAGAAAGTGTGGAAAACAAAGCAGAAAATTTATTTATTCAAGGAATAAAAAGTATACTTAAGTCCAGATGATAAATCTTGATTGTTCTATTTTTCATACTTAGCCGTAATGTTCATTCGTATCGCTGGAAAGAGGGAATAAAGTGTACTTGCCGTGTGTTTTGCAATTGTACTTTGGAGAGGCGCTACGAGAAGCCCCGAAAATAATTGCAAGAGTGTTTTCGCCATTTCTCCCCCGTTCAATTTGTTCGCGGCGAGACAATGCATCGCTTCGAGCCACCCTTATGATCCCTACTTCATCAATTCCTGGCCCTTCTCCGACACGCGTCCCTTCCCCGGCGCCGGTAAGTGAATTAGATTAGAAGGGGTACTTTTATCGAGTCAAGATACCTCGTCGCGGCCACACACTTCGGGAAACGGAAGATGGTCGTTTTTCAGTAATCGCGCCGGGGAAATTAACCGCTTATTAGCGAGCGTCACGTCTCGTCATAATTCCGCGAAGACAAGAAGAGAGAAAGAGAAAGAGAGGGAGAGGCCCGAGATTGTTTTCGCAGTGCGAGCGTCGTCATTAGAACTCTTCCTGCCTGCCGAACGGGATCTCTCGTCGAGTATCTTGATGCGTACGTGAGGGAAAACGAGAAAAGTTACACAGTTCGCGTGACGCGATTACACACACTTTACGAGACGCAAACACGAAAAACCGGTTGTCCTCCTAGCGGTCGCGCGAGAGAACGGCGTCCGCTCATTATAATTCATTAGCATTAGCGCGAGCGCGCGCGGCAGCGCCACAGCCAATGATACCGAGTCCGACCGCTAATTATCTAGATTACAATGACCTCTCGTCTCTCTGCGAAGGATAACCGCTTCTAATGACCGACTCGGTCAGAGACAACAAAGTGTTCACTTGGCTCGATAGCGAGAGTGCGTCACGCGAGTGTCTTATTTAATAGAGAAGTAGGTTGTGTGACATGAATGAGCGAGCGAGTCAAGAGAGCAAGAGAGTGCAAGAGAGAGAGAGAGAGAGAGAGAGAGAGAGAGAGAGAGAGAGAGAGAGAGAAGGGGAGCCCGAATCCTTTGGAATAGCGACTGCCGAGGGAGCGCGTCCTCCCGACCGTTCATTAAAGTGACATTCACAAGCTCGTATCGCGTTTCGTAACCGCCCAATCACGTATCCGAATACATTATACGGTTGTTATCCGCCGTGCAACTGTGCGAAAACGTGCGGCCAATGCAGAGATGCCTCCGTTGGTCAAAGTGAACGGCAAAATGTCGCGGACGCGACGCGCGAGCTCTCGGCGCAACTTGTGCCCGGTGAAATCCTTGATACCCTGCTGACCTGCGTGTGTTCGAAAAGAAGGGCAGGGGAAAAGAAGTAAACGTGAGGACAGCTACACTGGCAATGATGGTCCGCTTTAAACCCTCAGTATGCCACGCCGTGGTGATTGCGAAACATAGAATGAATTTTACTCCGCCGAAAGAGGAATAAATCGACCTCTAAGAAAGAGCGAAAGTCGCGAAGTGTAATTTTTGTTTTCCTTTTTTCTCTTATTTTGTGAGAAGGGGAGAAAGTAGAACTGTTCGAGGGGTAAAAAACTCGAGCGCTGGAGCTGAATCCGATGGAATCTCATGGCCCAAAGAACTATCGGCTATACACCCAGAAAAAATATTCTATTTGTAAAGTGATTTTTCCCATAGTCTCATATTCTAAGCCCTAAGCCTTTTACAGAAAAAGGACTCCTCTTTCGATAAAGCGATTAAAGTGAACCATTCATCTAAAATTTATTAGATATTATTCTAACAGTTTTCCTCTTGTCTCAAGAGGATTCTCTCTTGTATCAATTAATTTTCCTCTTATATGAAGAGGAATATGTTGATTTGAATGACGGCTTTTTTGTTCAATCATGATCTACTTTCATGAACGAAAAAGTAACTATATACTCATGGGTCAAAATATTTGGAACGCTTTTTAAAAAAGGTATGTGTATTGCTGTAACATATAACGAAATAATTGACCCATATTTGGCCAAATACAATTTATAACCTATTGCAAGAAGTTGATTAATATATTCTTTCTTTTAACTATGTTTCATATAATAGTTATGATAAACGTATAAATAAAGTCCATAATAAAACTGATTGTAAATTTGTTTGTTATGATAATCTTATTTTATTCGTGTATATATATATATATATTACTTTTCGCTATACATTCTAATAATTGTCTTCAAATTACTACTAAACTAATATAACCAGTAAGAATAAATAATAATCCTCTTAAAGAGAGATTAAATAATCTGTGTATAAGAGGAAATTTATATTGAAATCAATAAGATTTGCATTATACATACGAGGGTTGTTCCAAAAGTAATGCACAGTTGGCTCTAACTCAAGAAATATTTATTGAAGAAGATACAAGTGATTACAGGCCTTCAATATAATCTCCTCCTTTATCAATGCACGCTTGCCAGCGGCGCGGAAGTGCTTGAATTCCGTTCAGCGTCCCGTTCTTATTGAGCATCCGAATCTGTCGGGTCACTTCTCTTCGGAGCACTTCCAGCGTCGGAAAACGCACCCCCCGAAGAGGTTCTTTCATCTTGGGAAAGAGATCGAAGTCAGGTGGGTTCAGATCAGGATTATAAGCTGAGTAGCAGAGCCGTTCCCAGCCATATTTTTCGAGAACTTCGATGACCGGTGCACCGATGTGCGGGCGCGCATTATCGTGCAAAATCAACATACCACTTTGCAACATTTCTGGACGCAGTTTACGGACTTTTGGGCACAAGACATTCTGAAGAAAATTTTTACTGTGATTCCGGTCTTCGTCGAGCAACGTTGCAATGATTGAAGCGTTTGTGTTGTCAGCTGTTACAGTAGACGGCCGCCCCGCGCGCGGATCGTCTTCGATGCTTGTTTGACCTTCACGAAACTTCATGTGCCACCTCGGTACTCTGCTACGATTCACAGTAAACCTTCCACACGCTTCTTTTAACGCGGCATGAATTTCGGGCACTTTTTTACCGCGCACTGTTTCGATGCGAATATACGCACGTTGCTCTGTTGCTGAAATCCGACCAGACGGACTGTTCTCGTTGTCTTTCCGAATTTTTGGCATTTTCCCTTTAAACGAATCCCACTACCATATGATACCAACGTGCTCTTGAGACTTCAATCTACACACTAACGCTTCGATCACCTGTCTACGTTGCCTACAACGCCCGCTAGAGCGTGCTGTGCATTACTTTTGGGACAACCCTCGTATATAATCTCTCTAACTTTAGGAATAATGTGTTTATAATATTTTCTTCTTAATCTTAGAGAAATCTTCTTGAAGCTGTATATAAGAATAAAATCCTCTAAAATTTAAATGATTCCGCTTGTTCTGAAATTACTTTTCTTTTGGATGTAATATGCTGCTGCACGCGCAAAACTTTCCGCGTCGGGACTAAAATAATATGCTGATAAAGTTAACGTGCATAAATTTGGATAAATAAATAATCAGATGCATGAATAATTAAGTTAATGCTGCTTATCTATAGGGGTGACGAATAATAAACATATGATGGCCGTTGCAACAATGTCGCGTATCTACCTTGAATGACGATTAGAAAGAAACAATCCTTATCTCGCAGTACCAAATCGTGCATATCAGTCCGTTACACGGACAGTTCGCTTGTATATGGTAATTATCATTGCACAACTTCCACCAAAACGTTAAAACATCAAAACGAAATGTGTCGACGAAAATATACCGGGCACGCACGTATGAAAATGAAGGATGAGCAGTTTGGAAATTTTTGAAAAATCTTTTGTTTCCTATGATATCGATATCTCTCGCAACATGTTAGTAGCAACAAGGTGGCCAATAATAGCCAATCCGAAGGTCAAAGGAAAATATTAACTGAAGAACCTGCCGTTGCTCGCTGTCGTTAGTTATCATCAATAGCTTCAGAATTTTTCCGTGTAATTAAGTAGATAGCATGAATAGGTTTTATAACATCTATTTAATTCAATATTGAATATTGTACATAGAATTATAGGCTTCCTTATCTCATTACATAAGCCGTATTTTTAAACCTCGACCCCAAACCTCGTGATACTTATACGTATGACCTACATGAAACCATTTACAAATCGTTATTTTGCATTCTTTCTCTCCTTATAACGCTATGGATATTTATAACGTGCGAAAACTCCTGGCATCTTGCTAGAGAGCGAAAAAAATCGGGAGCAAACGAGCGAAAGAGCCACGCGCCGTAACCGCCGTGAAGCCAAGAGAATTGCTACCGATTATCTCGACGGTTCCAAACAGGTTTCACAACAATCCATTTAAAAAGGAAACAAAACAGGATAGTTGCGATCGAAAACTCACTGACTCACTGGTCTGACATTCTTGTGCTTTTACGATCGAGAGTCGTAAATAAAAAAAGACTGCTCAACTCTTTTTCAGTTCTTTCTTGTGTCGTCTCTCTTTCTTTGTGTTCCTTTAACAATAGAAGATAATAGAAGATGTCTATTTTTAAGAAGAAGTATTTCCAACGCGAAATGTATACGATCCGGATTGGACTGAATGATATGAAAGATATATATTCAGATAGAATTAAAAGTTGATATAGCTACATCATTTCCAAGATAGGATCATGAAGTGATGCGAAAAATATAGTTATATATGTCGTATAAAATCGCCATTTAACCATTTAAACCATTTAAATTAAAAAAACCGATGAGATCAACTAAAACGAACGGGAAGTTAGCAGTAGTACAACTCTCCTCATTAATAATACTCTCCTATTATTAGCCTCTCTATTATTAGCTTATCGTACTAGTATCTATCTGTTTAAATATACTAGTCTATCTGCTAGTATTTCTATAGTATCTCTACTAGTATCTCTACTAGTAATAGAGAAATTAATAATGATTTAATAAAATTTATTTTGAATATTTAAAATGGCCAATTTGAGCCCGCACACGATGTAAATGTGATATTAATATTACAATAATTTATTTCTACAAAAACCTGTCTAGTATATAAAAAATATAAACGTTTTGGCTCTATATTTGACTCTCATCTGTAGTTAAAAATTGGTGATCCAACTTGTTTTCTTCCTCGATGACCCTCTAATATCGTTGTAATAAAACCATTCTTCCTACTTAGTAACGCACTGCATCTCCTAAAGCCATGAAGTCAACATAGTTCAAAAAGAATTTTGATGAAATCAATGAATTTCTGATATCAATGAGTCCGAAGAATGACGGTTTAGAAGACACTCTTATCTTTATTATCAAGCCTTTCATACTTTTAATATTCTTTCTTAATTTTTATACATAACTAGTATACGTGAATATCATTTCACATTCATAGATAATGCTTCCTACGTGCGTACCATCCACATACGAATCCTTAAAGTTCTCGAACCAACGAAAATTCTTACAGATCTTTACTGCCACTTGTATCATTAACAATAGTGCGATGTGGATCCTTCCGCGGCTCAATTTTTAGCCATATCCCACCCTCAACAGTCAAAATAAAATTGTACTTGGCAAACTTCAGCGGAATCTGAGTTTTGTCAGAAGGCAGAAGGTCACACCGTGCCAGTAGGTGGAACAATAACAATTTCATCGCCAGCAGGGCGAATCGATAACCAATGCACATCCTGGGACCTAAACCAAACGGCAAAAAAGCCCCCGTTTTGTCGATATGTTTCTTCTCATCGCCAATGAACCGGTCAGGATTGAATTTTTCTGGTTCCTTGAAATACTTGATGTCATGATGGAGTGCATAAACCGGTATCCATAAGAGATCCCCTTTCTTCACTACGTAGGGTTTTGCCCCAGTTAACGCCGGCGGCAACTCGAAATCTCTCACGCATATTCTGTCATACACCATAGCGACAGGATATACTCTGAGAGCTTCTTTCAGTACAGCATCCAAATATTCCATGTTGTTGATTGTTACATACGAAGGTTGGCCGTTCGTGTCTTCCAGCAGCTGATCAATCTCATTCTGCAATCTTTTCTGTATGTTCTCATTTCGCGCGATCTCGTGCGTGACGAAAGACATTAACGACGAAACAGTTTCGTAGCCAGCAAAGAAGAAACTAAAAGCTAGGGCAGCCATTTCCTCGATTGTTATTTTCTTGCTATTGCCTTCTTCCTTGTCCCTGCATTCCATCATCAGTTGCAACATATCCGGCCGGGCTATGTCCTTCTGGATTCTGGTCCTGATGGTGGTCTCCACGATGTTCCTAAAGAATTTCATGATCTTCTCGTTGACGGTTTGTAGCTTGAATACCCTTACCAGCCATGTCGTCTTTGGTTGATTTATAGCGTTGTTCAATACGCTGAAAAACTCTGAAATATTTAAATTTCTTGCTGTCATGTAGAAAAGATTCTCTGGGTTTCGCATAGAGTCAACACTGATGCCGTAGGCGCAAGTGGCAATCACGTCGGTGCTGAAGCGTATGAAAATGTCTTTCATCTCTATTACCCTCTTCTCCGGTGGCAATTGTATCAGAAAATTGGTGAAACTAACAGCGTAGTCGGATATTAGGTTATACATGTATTTCATCTTACTAGACGTGAAGGCCGGAGATGCTATAGACCTCATCTGCCGCCACTTGTCGCCACGAAGAAACAAAAGGAGCATATTATTCTGCCCGTAGGTACGATGATCCGTGAACATGTCAAAATGTGTGATGGCAATGGACTTGATGAGCTCAGGGTCGCGCAACATTATCACTGGCGTGAGGAAGTCGTACATACCAATGTATTTGGTCTCGGGGTGCTCACTGTATACCGATTTTAAGAATCCGGGTATTGATTTCTGGCCGAAGATTATTTGTCCCATGTTGCCCACCAATGGCGAATGTCGCACATATGGTATCCCCTGATTCTTGAACTCGTTCGGGTTCTTGAAGAAGACGTAATAAATAGCTAAAACTCCGGCTAACGCGGATAAGACGATCGCATACAGCATATCGATCTGATGTGTTCTCACTGAACTAGGTACAGCACTGTTGTTTGATTAGCAGATATTGGCAAGTATAAAACTGTCGATCTGTACGAAAGCACATAGAATCTCCAATTTTTTAAACAACGGTTAAATCATTCAGTTAAATATTCTTTTATCGTAAGTCCGATTAAGTACGAGGAAGAGATGAAGAGTGTAATGCAAGTAACGTTGTTGACAATGAATTATCCACTGTTATTTTCCTCTTCGTCCTTTGTCATATATATCCTTCCTTATCATTGCTTATGAAGAAGAAAATTACAATGCATATTGTGCAACGAAACTGATATAGTGTACTTTCTACGTTGTTAACTTAAAAATCAATTGCACATGTTAATACGATACGCTGTGGTATTCATTTATGGAAAGTTTTCATTTGTACTGCGTTATCTGCCTTTTAACTTTTAGTTCAGTGAATTCTAAGAACCGATTGCGAAATACATTAGCCTAAAACACGAAAACGAAACACGAGGATGTGTCCATAAGAGACTCTGGTGGAAGAGACCAGTTTGGGGAAAAAGTTGGGAGTTCTGAGTTTTTTAATTCCACTGAGTTTATTGGTTTAACGCTGTTTTGGTGCTTGATCTTTAAAGACTTTTTGATATATGTGTAGTCAAATTATAGGCTGTTTGCATGCGCATCATTCTCATAATGATTTTCACAGCATTCTGAAAGAATTTCGTCATCTTGTTGCGAAAGTGACTTTAAGTAGTGCAGCTGTGCCAACCACGACAGCATCGTGGAAACTTTTCAATAACTTTTCATACTTCAATAAACTGACGGTGCTGAACTGATCGATATCTCTTTACCGTATATGTAGAACAGATATCCGAAGTCACTTGCGTGGAGTCATCACTGACGTCAGTGGCGCAGATGACGATCACATCGTGGTGTAATGCGCGAAGAATCGTTCGTTCATCAACCTCTGCTCCTCCGATAATTATGAATTTGACGAAATCGGTGCATAGCCCGACGTCAATCTCAACATATTTTTTATTTTGTTGGACTTGAGGCCGGGCTCATAATAGTCCGCATCTCCCACTATTTGTTTTAGCGGAAAAAAAGGACAATTTTCGTTGGACAATAACTTTTCATCCTCCCGGATGAAGCTGCGATGATCCGGAAACATTGTCGAAGTGCCTGAGCGTAAGTGAGTTGTTAATGAGTTCATGGTCGCACAGTATTATTGCTGATGTAGTCATATTGTACATACCGACGTACTACCACTTCTCGTGGAGCAAGTGGCGTTTCACGGAGAATGAACAAGGTCTGGGATATAAACGAATCCTGGTCAAACTGGAGTAAGACGCGATGATTCGGGAACATGTTAAAGTGGTTGATCGCGATGGACTTGATGAGCTCGGGGTCACGTAACGTTATTACCTGCATGTGAAATTCGTACATAACGATATACTTGAGTTCAGGATACTCGTCAGGATACAGCATTTTCAAAATTTCGCTCAACGATTTTTATCGATGACTGCCTGTCCGATGTTACCCACTATTGGCAAAAGTCGCACATATGGTATGCCATGATTCTTGAACTCGTTCAGATTCTTGAAGAATAAGTAATAAAAGACTAAAGCCCCGATTATCGTGGAAAAGATAATCGTGTATATCATGTCGATCGAATCTATCCTCACTGAATGGACACAGCACCTTGTACTGTTTGATTGGAAGATATTCGCAAGTATAAAGCTGTCGGTGCGATGTAGGATCTTTAATGTTTTAAATAACAAGTTAATGTTCTTTTATCGTACGTATGATTAGGTATTAGCAAAGAAAGAAGTTCGGCGTTGCAGCAACTTCGTTGATAATGAAAACCAACTACTATTGCTCTGCACATACTTTGTCTATATAGTGTCATTATTTATGGAACAGAAAGTTTTATATCCATATTGCACAACGAAAGTATTATCGCGCATTTTCTATCCTGTTGTAACCCAGAACTATGTTGCATACGTTAATGTAAGACACATGAAGGTATCTATGTAAAGTAACGTTTTTATTATCTCATTTGCCTTTTAACAAACATCGTATTATACTAAGAAACAATTAGAGAATATTCTCGTATAAGAACGCAAAATCAAAACACGAAGTCAAACATGTCCGAAAAGTCTTGAGGAGTGAAGAAACTGGTTTGAGGAAAAATTTGATAATTCTGAATTTTCCATTTTCTACTTTTTATTTCTACTTCTTTGGAGGTACAAAATGATTGTGCTGTAGCATAAAGTGCTTACCACGCAAAACATTCTTTGCGAATTGAAACCGATGACACGTTGGATATAACCTTATCGGTAATAGCATACACATAAACGAATGAAATACTTACAGTCCTGTAAAGTAAGAGCGTGTACGGGTTAATGTGTGTACAGGTTAATGTGTAGAAAAATCTATTTTAATAATTTTTAAGTACATGGATTTATTGTACTCCATGAGAAGAAACATGCTATACCATTAATAATGAGTCCAGTCACTACCGGCATTGATAATTGTCTGGCATCTCCGAGGCATACACTTCGAGGACTTTCCACTAAGTTGACTGCGTATTCGTTCGGTAAAGACCTCCAAATGAGACGAATTTGTCGTGTCAGCTGCTTCAAAGTGCACACTCTTTTTCCTCGAAGCTTGTGCTTGAGATATGCCCACACATTTTCAATGGGATTTGCATCTGGCGACTGCGATGGCCAATCAAGTGTGACGATGCCAGACTGCTCTTTTCACTCGATGCAAAGCTTGCTCCGGTGTTTTGGGTCGTTGTCTTCCTGTAAGATCCAGTTCTCGTTTTTTTTATGAAGCATCGTTCAGCAGTCGGCAACACTTCTCATAAATTTTAAGCATTTTCGGAGCATGTAATTGCATTTATGCCGTACACGCTCTTACTTTACAGACTGTATGTATTGTATGTATCGCGGCAATACAATTGCAGAGGTGTCGGACACAGGCACTGGATTAAATATTATTCCGGAAAATATCCGGAAAATATAATATATTCTACACGAGTTGATAAGTAAACATTATTCTCCTCTACAATCTAGTCTGTCCAATCTTAACAGGAATTTCATTAATGATCAACATTGGTACAACGGACATAATTCTGTGTGATGTAGCTTGTGGCTTTGACATTGGAACAATTTTCTGATATTAGTGAATTCGGAGAACGGCGATACAGAAGATATTCTTATTTATTATCAAGCTTTTTATACTTTCAATATTCGTTATTAATTTTTAAACACAACCAGTATGTGTGAATATCATCTCGCATTTATTAATTATGTTTTCTATTATGTTATGTACTGTTCACATGTGAATCCTTAATTATTATAGTGCCGAATAATGATATATCGTTATTAGCAACACTTGCGAAAAGTGCCAACGACGATATATCGTTGCGCATGCGATGACGCCTTACTATTCGCATCACGAGAGAAATCTGTTTCAAAATAATTTATAAAACATCATAAATGGTTGAATTTCTTTTCAGAAATCCTATGTGAGGTATCCACGAATTAAAAAAATTGTTTATAAGTTTAACTTTCTGTTATATTCCGCGATGCTTCTGATGCTTGCTGCGCATCATGAGATTATCATTTAGTTTTGTGCCTTGATATTAGTAATTTTGTTATAAATAATTGAAGATGCAGTATTTATGCTTTATACTACATCAAACTTTGACCAAACGATGATTCTTCTTATTTGCAAATACTGTTTATAAAAAATTACTGATTTTCCCATTTTTCCTAATGATCTTGAATAAATATTAGTACGATTTTCAACAAATATTGAAATAATAACAAATATTGAAAGTTAGCAATAATTTATTCTCCCTTTATTTCGTAATATGTTTCTTTTGAATTTAATATCATTCTTACTTTTATGCGTATACTTATGTGTATATTTTTTCTCAAATCTTACTAAATTACATCAACTTGGTTCGGCATTCTTCGTTTACTAGGTGCGCAACTAAGTTTCCGGTTCTTTTGATCAATGAAAATGGAAAATTTCAAGAGAAATACAAAAAATGGTTTATTCAAAGTATCGTCCCTCGCTAGCTACACATTTTTGCCATCTCTCTGGCAATACATGAATACCGCGACGATAAAACGACGCGTCTTTGGACCGAAACCATTCATCCAATCAATTTTGCACTTCTTCGAAATTGGCCAAGTGTTGCCCAGCCAAGCCATGCGCCATCGACCGGAACAAGTGATAATCGGAAGGGGTCAGGTCTGGCGAATACGGCGGGTGCGGTAGCAGATTCCATTTCAGCGTTTTGATGGTGTCCTGGACGATGGAAGTGCGATGGCACGGAGCGTTGTCGTGCTGCAATATCACTCGTTCGTGTCTCGTGTCCCATTCTGGCCGTTTTTCGAGTGCATGCTTCAAATTGATCAGTTGTTGTCGGGTAGCGATGCCCATGACAGTTTCGCCCGGTTTCAGCAGCTCAT